CACAATCATCACCACAGTCACTGTTATCTACTTGTTCCGAATTTGAGCTTATTTGCGTACTTTTTGTAGATTTCAGCCTTTCTAATAGTTTTGTAAAAGTTTCTATTTCTGTGATCCTAAAAAAATCTTTGTATAAATACTGCAAAACATCAAACACATTCAATCGCCTCTCTTTTATTCTTTTTCTAAGACATGCAGCGAGTTTTTACTAAGCTCGTTGGACCGAGCATCAAGTTTATTTAACAGCCGGGACGGATTTAGATTTAAGATAAACATCAAAGACCAATTTTATTTTATCAATAAGTTGCTCTTCAAAGGCGAGTTTTTGTAACAATTAAGCAATTTTCTTACTTTATGTATAATATCTTTGTACCAAAACTCAGATTCTGGAACTCTTGGTAACTACTATAAAAAGTCTATCATCGTTTTCTTCAATTTCTCCAGATTCTTCTGAGTCTGACATTGATGCATCATCCTGTAGTTCTGTATAAGAATCTATGTATCAGCTGTGCATACAGTTGAGGGCGCTTCTACACTCGTATTACGCTATAAATAATAGGTGATGTAGATGTTACTAACTACTATGGGTGACTCAAAACTTGGTCCTGGTATTGTTATTTCTGCGACTCTCTAGGGTGTACGCCCTGCGTCTGGATACTGCTGGCACCGCCCTAAATACGGCACTGCCTAGCACCTAACAGTCTAAATCCAGATATAGATTATCGCTAAGTTAAAATTCTTTTTTAGGTATATTATTTACCTACAAATGTCTTGAGATTTAACTATTTAAACTTTATTTGCACATGTACAATATACAGATACAATGCCACAAGGTACTACTCTACTCTACCAGTCTACATCTAGGTTAAGCGGACAGACGGGGTGCAAAGTGCAAAAAATACAGTAAACCAGACTAATTACTGTAACACCGACACCGACAGCTTACACTGTACATATAAAGAGAAGTATGCTATCTAAAAACAAACGAATCGGCCCTAAAACACGACTCTTATGCCAATTAAAAATAATTTGAATATCCTGAAAAAAAGAAGTAGTTCTTTAGTATAGACATGATAGTATAGACAAAAAAAGCTGTATTTTACTATCGTGTAATAATACGTTACGTTAATGGAATAGCATTAAGAAAGTTTTCGTCTAATAAATACACTGCAATTAATGTACTGGTACTTGTTAGAAATTAAACTGTAATAAATTCACGATTAATAAACTTCATATTGTTATTTGGGAACACTAATAATTAAATCAAAAATAGTAAAGTAACCGTTAAACGGCATAACTATAAAAGTATAATATATTATGAATATTTGTTCAAACGAATAATTCAAAGCCGAATTAATAAAAAATGGAGAAACTAAGCGAAAGTAAAGAAAGAAGTCGTGATAAATATTTTTATTAATTCATTCATTACGGGCTATCAAAAGTCTGCTAACTTTCCCTTGGAATGCTTCATAAGTGTAATAGTAATTTTTTTATAATCTACTGGGTAGATTGTAAAAAAATAAAAATATTTGCCGAGGACCGAGGACCCTATAAAGAAATACGCCAATGGGTGAGAGATGCGAATATCTCATTATATAATCATAATTTTCTATTTCATACATGTAATGGCCTCACTCATCACGAGAACTCCAAAACTATGCACCCGATCGACTTGAAATTCGGCACCTACTTATACTTCTTTCTCTTTCTCGACGTTGACACTCACTAAGAAAGCATTTTGGAAAATTCAACACCCGAAGCGGTGAAATAGGTTGTTACAACTTGTTAGGGCGTAAAAACCAGTTTTATGTAGTAAGTACTAAATTCAACCGTGGACCATCTTAAATAGACGGTCCAGCTTTTAAAATTTTACCCTCATTTTATTTTGTTTGAGGTGTTAATACACTAGGCTTACAACTTAAATCTCCATAGGAACAGTGTATCTTTACGCATACGGACGTATACTGGTGTTACGGTGCGTGCGACTACTTAACCGCAACGTTGAATATTCAGCGTTTAGTTGGTTTTATTCACTCATTACTATGTATTAATATTCAAACGGTCGCTTATTATAGCTTCAAGGCTTTTTTACATAATTTTAATTTTAATTAAACAACTATTAAGAAGAGATCAGTAGCATAGCGCTACGTTACACCACAGGATACGAACCAGACAGACGGATGAATGGAATACCTCGTTACTAGTAAAAAGGATCTCTTGTTCTCTATGCTCATCATACAGGGCACACGAGTGAGCATGGTTTTTTCCACGGTCAAGTCGACCCATTTGTTTTAGAATTATAATAAAGCTGCATGGCTCTACCACGTAGGTAGGGCAACTCTACCAGTGCCGAATAGTGGCGGTATAACAGAATATATTTCCCCCATTTCACGCCCCTCCTCCATTTTGTCCCATGGGTATCGTAAGAGACGACTATGAGATATGCTAGAACGGGTACAACCACCTCGTTTGCCGTTACCGTCACCATTACATCGTATTGGTCCACTGCTGAACATAGACCTCCCACATACACTTCCCCATAGGTGGTATATTTGCAATAGTTGCCACGCTTGGCAAGTGGATTGGCAACCGCAGTTTTTTATTAGTTATTAGGGAGACACCGCTAGCCATCTCCTGATCTATTTCCGCCTGTCGCCTCTTACGACACCCACGGAATGATATGGGGTAGTGGATACATCGTTTGCGTGGCGTAACATATCCACACCCGTGACAACGAGTAGCGTCAAAGGTTCCAGGAGTTTGGTAGTGCGGTCGTCAATCCGTCTATTAAGGATAATGATTAGGGTAATTCCTTCCATACTTGGACAGACCCATGTGCAATTGTGGACCTTTAGGGACTAATGAAGAAGTGGAAGACTCTTCATAATCCCATCTTTGCTAATGTTACTAAGGTACGTGAGGGTAATATGGTACCTTAAGCTTTGCCGCCCTATAAAACCCAAACTAGGAGGAGGACAAAGTCGTACGCTATAACTAATATATTAAGAAAAAAAATGCTAACATGCTTTGGCAATTAATTAGGAACACTTCAAAAAATCTACTTAAAAAAATTAACCATTAAATATTATATTAAATAAAATCGATTAATTTTTTTTCTATAATATCAACTGCCAAAATAGCGTCGATAAAACATCGGTATTTTTACTCTTTATTATTCGATTGACCGATGAAGAGCTTTCGTATCACAAAGTCATCTAATCATTCAGATAAAGCTATAGTTTTTGAGTTATAAGAAAGTGACCATATTACCCTCAAAAGTTGCCGGATATATGTACTTTCATTTAGAACTAGCCGTAGCAGGCAGTTACCAGCCTCTTGGTATTCTAAAGAATGCATTTCGGAGAGTGTGCGCAGGAATCACATGCTTTAACTCCTCCCTCTTCTTTCCATCATTGGACAACCATTGGTCGGAGTATCTTTACTGTTTTGTTGTCGGTATTCCATGCATTAGAACCAAACGGTGTGCTTCCTCTTTTGTAAAAAGCAAAAGCAAAAGCAATCTTTTGCAAAGAAGTGAAATAATAAACGCCTGTGTTTCCGTCCGAACATAATCTAGGTGTCTTCAAGGCAAGACTGAATAAGATTTTGTTACGCTAAGACAGTAGAGAAAGCTAAGCTAGCTAGCTAAGAAGTAAGAAGGGATCCCAACAGGTGGGATTGTGGATAAGTAAAAAAAGACTTTTTTTCCAAATACTTATTTCAGTTATAGAAAGAAATAACACAAGGCTTTTGCAAAAATTTCAAAAACAAAGTCATAAACTAGATATGTTAAAATAAATCGTATTAAGAACACGAAAATAGATAATGATCACCATGTCTCTATGTTCGCACAAACACCTGCACATAGTGACTAGAGTTACTACCGTACTATTTAATTTTTTATACTATAGGTTCATGCTACATAGTTGCTGTGTTATGTTATGATAAAAAATACTGCAAGTGCACGTTTTCTTACCATCGGCGAAAAGCAGCAAGCTTCTTGTGTGCCGTATACAAAGTATATTCGCCTACATTCATTAAAATATAAATAATGAGTTTTACATGTATTATTAGACTTGTTTGCGATATCAACCTTTGCATTTAAAGAAGTATCGATTCAATTAATTTAAATATCACTTGAATTTGCTATTAAAATATAAATAACATGTTTTTACAAGATTTTAGATTGGTACATTTAATTGGTTATCCCAAAAAGCCTTCAATGAACATTTTTAGAAATGTCAGTTAGGTACGTTAAATAATAACAATACAAGCAAAAATAGTGAACATTATAGTTAACAATTCAACCGTAAATGTTATACACATGAATGAGCAACTTTGCTTAATTATTGGCGGACGAAATTAACTGAATATTCAACACAGCCGGGGCCGGTACAATTAAATCATCCCACATTATTTAATGATACCTGGAGGAGTCCGCGATAATTTCAGCCCTATCCAACGCAATTATTTAAAAAAAATGTTCAGTAGTTATTTATATAAAATATAACCATAAATTATTTTGTTTTCAATTAACTTCGTTAACTCAATCTGTAATAAAAAAAAATAGGAGCATAACCGAGAATAAACTTAATTCTTTCCCAAAACACGCGATTCCATTGTAACACACAGTACCTACCTGGTTGAAGTAAAAACTTACTGAATAATTTATATTTTCCACTAGCATAGGTTTTTACACCCCTTGGTTTATGATTGATTTGTGTCCAGCCATTTAATAATGTAAATTGCTAAGAAAAATTGTTGATGAGTTAAAAATTATCGAAGCACACTGTTACATAGATACTACATTTTTATTAATAATCTACGTTTAAATTATTTATAAACAAAACAGATAACTTTATTTTAACTCGTAGAGTTTGTCTCGTTCCAAAACTATAATTGTGAAACACTGAAATCCTACATAATATAATTACACTGTTATGTATTTATTAATAAAAATAGTAATCAAAAATATAATAAATCATAAACTATAAACTTACCCAAAAGCTTTCCACGTAGTGTGAAAAAAGAAAAACACCCGGAAGAGACATTGTTACCAAATTAAGTTCACAGCGAAAATGACAGAGGGTCCACGTCTCGCTTTTTATTTATACACTTACTGTTTACTAACATCACATAAGAATTTCTTTATTTGTCCGATAGGCGAGATACCGGCCGCGAAACCCGCGTGCGCTCAGGGTCTCTGCAAGCGAGTGCCGACTGAGAGCGGTCGCTACACTGCGCCCCTATATACGTAACCTACTACTTACTACTTGAGCCTGAACACTTGATTTCACGCTCTACATCCACAAGTTAATAACTATGGATCTTGGCTACCACTCAAGCACCAAGGTGTATTTTAGAGACGCACGTGACCGGTAACAACTGCGTCCGACTTTCTAAGATAAATAGATCGGTAATTATAATTGACCTATTTGAGACTCGATAAGGGCTCGGTAGGCGAATCAAACGGAGATTAAACTGGTTCAAGGACGACGCCTGGCTGATAGTGTTACATGTGTGCTTAGACCCATGCAACTGTCCGAAGATAATCGATTCACGATTGATGTACCATGGTCGGTATGCGTATACTGTGAAATAAATAATAGGAAAATATGCGTACCAAAGCGATAGTATGTTAATGTCTACAATACCTGTTGTATTTATGGTTGAAGTATTTTTTGCTTATACCCAACTCACATAAATATGTCATTAAACCCGCACAGAAAAGTAATTACAAAGTTGAGAAAAATAATAATTCAAAGAATAAATTAATAACGATTGTTTAGTACGCGCAATAAAAATTAACAGATAAAATGTGACATAACGTAATATTAATCACATTTTAAATCATTGTTTTATGTAAAGTTATAAATTTATGCTGTAATAAGGAAATACATATAACGCCTCTACATATCGACAACACGCGAAAGGCAGGCTGCCCCGGTGGTCCAGTGGTCGAATGCTCGACTGCTGATCATAAGGTGCTGAATTGGGTTGAGGTTAGGGAATCACAGGTCTGGCCAAAATTAGTTGTGGGTACGTTTTAAAAAAATTCTCAGCACCTATCAAGTCGTAATCAGAAATTTTCACCCCATTACGCCGGGCCTCTTCCCGGTAGATTCGGAGGCAGATTTTGCTGTTGCACGTATGGGCCAGCTCGAACCGCCAGCTCATGCGGTACCTTGAGGATCAACAGCTGATTAGTGACCGCCAATACGGTTTCCATCGGGGTTGCTCAGCTGGTGATGTTCTGGGTTACCTAACTCATAAATGGGCGGAGGCAGTAGAGTCCAAGAGGGAGGCGTTGGCCGTTAGTTTGAACATAGCGAAAGGTTTCGATCGTGTTTGGCACAAAGCGCTTTTTACGAAGCTTCCTTCCTATAGGCTTCCCGAGAAATTGTGCAATTCGATCACCAGTTATTTTGCAGATCGGAGCATCAAGGTCGTAGACGGTGCATGCTCCGATTACAAGCCCATTAACCGGCCGGTAAAATACACCGGCCGTGCCAATATTTCTCGGGAAAACGCCGCTGCGTACCGGGACAAACTTGTTCCTGAAGTCGAGACTTTATTGAACAAAGGCTCGGACTGGGGGCGGCTAAATCTAGTCCAGATCAATCCCCAGATGCCACAAGTTTGCGCGTTTACCGCTAAAAAGAACCCATTCGTCGTATGTCCTCAGTTTCAAGGCACTCCCCTTGTTGCCTCAGCCAGTATCGGAATTCTCAGCGTCGACATATCGAGTGATGTGCAGTTTCTTGATCGCTTGGAAGTAAAGGCCAAATTGGCCTCTAAAAAGCTTGGCGTGCTCACCAGAGCGGGACAGTATTTCATGCCGGTAAACCACCTGCAACTTTACAAGGCGCAGTTTCAGCCGCACGTGTTATACTGTTGCCATCTATAGGCTGGGGCTCCCCAGTGCCAGCTCCGTTTGATCTTATCCAGAGCAGAGCTATTCGTACCCTGAGGAATTGTTCCGACCAATTCCAGCCGCACAATTTCACCATCTGTCCTGCCGTCCGCCTGATCATGCCGTGATTGCCGTGTAGTGGCGGTCGAGAATATCCACTACCCCATATCTTCCCGTGAGTGTCGTAAGAGGCGACAGAGGGAGACAGGCAGGAGATGGGTAGCAGCATCTTCCTGACAACAACAATAATATAATAAAAAACTGCGGTTGCCAACCCGCTCGTGAATAACGAGGCAAAAAAAAGGCCCCCAGTCCCCGGTGGTCCCACTATTCCTGGCTACGGTGGCGATCATGGTAACGGCGGGGCAGGGGGTGCTAAGAATCTCCGGTGGAGGTTCGGTTGCCACCTACGACGACTCGACCTGACAACATATAACGCACGCACCCTGACGCAACTGACGAGAAGATACTGGAGCTGGAAGAAGAGGTAGTTAGTTATTTTAGCCCTCTTGAAGAACTACAGACTACGAGAATCATTACGAATCGTCTCGGACGCAGACTCGACGACTTCCAGCCTCCCGAACAAGCCGGTTTCCGAAAAGGCTTTAAGTACCATAGACCACATACATACCCTTCGGCAAAATTGTACAGAAGTCCAAAGAGTACAATCTGCCACTTTGCCTGGCGTATGTGGACTATGAGAAAGCCTTTGATTCCCCCCGAAATTTGGGCGGTGCTACAGTCTCTTTAGCGGTGCCAAGTTGACTGTCGGTATATTGAAGGGCTGAAGTGTTTGTACAATAGGGCTACGACGGCTATCCGAGTACAGAACCAGAGTACGAAACCTATCCAACTGCAGAGAGGTGTAAGACAGGGTGACGTTATTTCCACGAACTCGAAACTCTTCACCGCTGAATCGGAAGAAGTTTTCAAGCTACTGGACTGGAAAGGATACGGTATTAACATCAATGGCGAGTACATCACTCACCTTCGATTTGCCGACGATATAGTCCTTATGGCAGAATCGCTGGAGGACTTAAGCTCTATGCTCAATGACCTCAATAGCGCCTCCCAACGGATAGGTTTTAAGATGAACATGGACAAAACAAAGATCATGTTTAATGTCCAAGTCACACCTATGCCTGTAGTTGTTGGGAGCACTAAGCTCGAAGTTATTGACGAGTATGTTTACCTGGGACAAATAGTCCGACTAGGTAAGTCCAACTTCGGCCGAGAGGTCAATTGACGGATTCAACTCGGCTGGGCAGCGTTCGGGAAATTACGACACATCTTCTCGTCAGCTATACCTCAAAACCTGAAAACTAAGTTGTACAACCAGTGCGTATTGCCAGTGATTACCTACGGAACCAAGACGTGGTCCTTCACTGCTGGCCGTATGAGGATGCTCAAAGTCGCTCAGCGAGCTTTGGAGAGGGCTATGCTCGGAGTTTCTCAGCGTGATAAACTTAGAAATGAGGATATCCGCAGTAGAACCAGAGTGACCGACATAGCCCAACGGATTAGTAAGCTGAAGTGGCAAACTTTTGTAAAGTTTTTTAATTTTTAGTTACAAGATACGTCATTTACTCGCGAGGTCGCATGCAAATGTGAAATTTTCAATTTCAAAAAGTTAAAACTTCCTTTTACATTTTCAGCTGATTGCACTACTATTTATGTTTTTTTTTTGGCGTGCAGTAAATTGTTATCTATCTATCTATCACTGATGTCAGCAAGTACCAGGTGAGGAAACTACATCATTCTCAGACGCAGTCATTCCATTTCCTCTGGTTTTCATTATTATCCAAGGATCAATCAAGGAGTGACCACAGAAACTACTTTTATGCATCACGTAGCAGGCATTTTTAAAATCAATAACTGTTATAAATTAATCCTATACCTATATATATATATATATATATATATATATATATATATATATATATATTATATATATATATAATCGGAATCTCTGAAACGGCTTCAACGATTTTCATAAAATTTTGTGTCCAGAGAGTTTCGGGGGCAATAAATCGATCTAGCTAGGATTTATTTCTAGAAAATGCCCCTTTATCCGTGTTTTTAGGCAATAATATAATATCATATATAATAATATGATATTATATTATTATATAATATAATATCATATTATAATAGCAATAAAAAACTGCTACAATATAAGAAGGTAAATTTTGACAGGTTACTAACTATCGTAATAGCTCAGATGTGATGTTGTTCGGGCGTGATATCGGTGTTCCGTGTTTCGCGTCCCGTCTTGAGTCCGACTTTTTTCCCTTTTTTTTTTTCAAGTTCCCTTATTTTGTGAGAAAATCTATTATTTCGAGCCCTTTTTTTCAGTATTTTTTAAAAATACGAAAATTTTAATTAAACTAATTGCACTCATGATTTTTTATTCAAATAACCAGTTCAGTTTTTTCTATTATGTCAATAAGATCAAAAACTATTATTCATGTAATTTGTATATAAATGTAACTTAAAAAAACCGAGCAAAGCTCGGTCATCCGGGTACTGACACTAAAGTGATTAAATAATTAATTTTAGCTACAGTTATGCCTTTAAAATTTTAAAATTAATCAATAAAATACATTTAATTTATTGATATCATCCCTTTTTAACAAAGCAAACTTAATGACTTACGTGTTTAGAAATACCTACAAAATTTAAAAAATAATTAACGTTTCATAAGAGGCAGTAGGGCATTCGAGTCAAATGGTGCCATAGGCCCAGTCCAATATATTTAAAATACCCCATTTGTTAAATAATTTTGAATAATTATTAAAGAAAATAAATTCCTTATTTTGTTCGTCATACTAATATTAGTCAGCAATACGTGAATACATACATAAACTATCACCCAGAGAAGCAGAGATGAAGTATCACTAATTTGATCAATAAACTTCCATCTATGGCGTCTATTGTCGAATCTACCACTAACTTCTACAATATAATATTATCTACGTTTTCAAGCTAGAGCATAAACCAAACGAGGCCAACATTTTCCACAAAGCATTCCTGTTCATTCTGACACAAGCCTTTTCGAAATCTAAAATTCACAGAAAACATAAACTTCTCTGTGATCATGCGCATCGAATACCCTGGATCGTAGTCCGTACACGCCTT